AGCCTGCAGTTACCGGATATATGTTGAAGTTGAATGTGGCTTTTTTCGGCGTTCGGCATTTTTGCGTGACGTTCCATTCATATGCAGTGATACTGACGATGACTGCGGAGAGACAAGTCTTGAGTTAATAGTACGGAAGGAGTGGCTTTTGCTGACTGTTTGGATTGTAGGGCTGTCCGACGTGTTTCTGCATGTGCAGCTCTCAGGCAATGGCGTGCGCAGAGAAGATAGCAACACTGACTTCAGGGTGGCAGCCGTACTAGCGTCGATGTCCTGCGCTGCGTTTCGTTTTCCTCTGCCCGGTTGCCAGCGGCTTAGTCGGCTGTTTGTGCCGCCTGCACCTGTCTACGGGCAGTACGGCAGCGGCGCTCCGGTTACGTTTCTCACCTTTGATGCGACGCTGCCGAAATGACGAGATATGCTGAGCAACGACCGCATCTTCAGACAATTTTCCGCATAGGTGTCTGTACAGAAATGTGTCCGGGCAAATATTGTCCGCGCGCCTGGCTGCACGTGGGAAGGTCTAGCGGCATACACGGTCCAGCTCTTGGTCGCCCGTACGTACGGTGGCATCCCCCGTCGAGAAGCTGCTACATGTCAGCCTTTAGGGGTAATCGGTGAGCGATCAGGGAGTGCGGTGTACTACGCGCATGACTCTGCCCACATTATGCGTTGCTTTGACATCATTGCTGGTCAGCGAGTCGTAGCATGCTGAATACCGAAAGGATGCTGCACACATTGCGTATCCGCGCATATTTTATTTGGTGGAGATACGCTGCTGTATGCAGTCCAAAAGCTGACAGGCGGTTCCTTATGCCGAACCGCGGTTACACTGCGTATGCGACTGGTTCTCCGGTGTATCACCTACGCCTGTACTCTGCTTTGAAGTTAAATTGATTAAGCAGTTGTCATATGCGTGCTGGGTCTCCGATATACTAGGGAACGCAGGATGTTTGCGGGGGTGAAGACGATCTTGTTCAAGTTTTGACTAGGACGGTGACGCCGTCCTACATCAACTAGAGAGCATGTACCATAGGCTTGAGGCGTCGTTAGCCAAATCGGCACTCACGTGCACTGAGATGCATGCGAGAACTGCTTGGCGCTGCAAATGTCTATGGAACGTGCAGGGGCAGCGCGTGAGTTGTGTGAGGGGCGGGGCAGCTGAGGAGGCGGGCATGGAGCAACTAGGCTTAGTTGTAGAATAAAGGTAGCAGTGTTGTGGCTGCCCGTTCGCGGCGCCTGACGAATGCGATGTTTTAGGCCACCGAGAAATGCCTGTATCGAAAATGCACTCGGTTGAGCAGGCTGGCTTGTATCGCTGGCCTTCGTGCCTGGAGATCTGCTAGACACGGTTACCGATT